TACCGAGATAGAAGATGCGTAGATTATTACTATTATGCAAGATAACTTGAGTGAACACAGCCTAAGGAGATGAAACAATTTAAAATCTCGTAGCTAACCCATCTCTGCTGTGTAAGAATGTGAGCCCAAAAGAGCCATTCGAAGGCAAGTGAGTGGGCAACGTATACTCATATGGCACTTGACTTCTGACTTCAAATTACCATGACCCGACTGTTTGTCATATTCGACCACTCCCACAGTACTCACCTTACCCTACTCTCTACCTTTGTGTCTGTCTGTCTCTTTTACACCTGTGAATCACTCTTCTGTTCCCTACCCCTCGACTTTTTCTCAATTTGATGTTCCTCCTCCTCCTCTCTGTGAAACCCGAAATTAGGTAAAGGACTAATGATAACTATCACAACGCCTGCTATTTGAGATAAATAAATAACTAATTCCTACCCTTTTGATGAAAACAACTCCGTCGACAAGCATTGAGAGTGCCGTAGGCAAGATTTTGCTACCATCCACATAGACAATCCCGAAATTTGCATTTAAGTGAACCACTCACAGAGTAGAGACTGTATAAGCTGAATTCGGAGAGTTCTAAGACTCTTAGATACCTTAACGATGATTTCAGAATCAATTTATCACCTCTATCCTTTAGCATTTGCCGCACTTTCTCAAAATCGCATTCCGTTACACCCACAATTAAAAATAGTGGCAGTGATGCCGACTAGTAATCTAACTTTTTAGCACAAGACAAATACGCCTCAAGTCCAACATCCTATATCTATAGCATCAATTGATGCATGAAACAAAACACTAGAAGAGGAAAGAATAATAAATTTTATTTGGCTACATATTCGAGAAGTTGCCAGCTATCAAAAGGAGAATTTATATAATTCCGACGCGCAAAAAGAAGAATAAAATAAATTTGGATCGAGAAAGATTCACAAACCTTCGGTTGTGCATACACCTACTTTTAACCATGAGAGGAGTAAATTGAAGGGGAAACTATGTATATATTCGATTTTTAGCAGCGACAAGTTTTAGCATATTCGCAAATATGAGTGGTGCTGACTTCGGGGATTCCCGATTAACGTTCCCGAACCCCTTGTCACTTAAATCAATGGCCCCTCACGATAGACATCTACATTTCATTCACTAAATACTACATACAGGTATTTGTTATGTTCGATTCTTAGCCTAGAACATCACATAAGTGCTCTCAAACCTCAAGAGATCAAGTCACCTGTCTTCTGACTAAACTGGCAATCAAAATTGGCTTACGAAAACTTAGGCCATAATAGACTTATCATGAAACTCAACAAGGTAGACTTGTAGGAAACAATTCAGCGAGAGAAGGAAAATGAGTACAATTCCTGCCCTACTCAAACCCAAGACAGAAGAACGACATAAAGGCAGAATAATTGTGATAGATTTAAAGGCGTAGCGTTTGACCCACGTACATAACACTGACCATCGTCTTACTAGTAAAGATAACAGATAAATATTGATCAAAATAGATGAGGAGTACGTCAAGCTTCTAGATCACACACCGTGTCATTAAAGTGTAATCTTTACTAATGAAATTCAGCTCGAAATGGCCCATTTACTTGTCTTTCATAACTGAAACGGCAATCCATACATTGGCTAGCATTAAATCGAAATCCATGTGCTAAAATGTACAATACAACACGATCTAAGCAGATGTACTTACTCTCAGCAGCCAGATGAGAAGCGACTGCTGAAGTATGAAAAACGGATAGGAGAAAGATTCTCTCAAAGGAGGAGTCCACTGAACTCTAGTTGCCTCGCCATGGTTGAAGAAGAAACCGACGGCTGGAAACACTGCACCCCAAATCGTAATAGTCAATGAGGAAGCGCCATTGCTACCTCCCGAGCCGCTATTGGCCACCTGCCAACCAGAAAGAACCAATCCAAACACAGTCAAGCCAGCGAGGCTGAAAACACTGTTTACGTAGAAAATTGGTGGTTCGCGGAAACCTTCGCAACTTATTACTGTGTCTCCACCATGAGTTCCTATAGGTCGCAGATGAGGTGGTGAGGACAAGTTAGCGTTGATCTGATTGGGTGGTATTGCATAAGCGTGGACCCCAGGCCTCTAGAAATGAGGTAAGACAACACAATAAGGAAAATTAGTGAACAGTTTAGCAAATGAAAGTTAACCCCTTAGTGAATAGGCTTCATCTGATATCAACCAGGAAAGAAAATATGAGTAATTTGAAATTAAACTATGTGTTTATTTATCAAAGTCATCATACATTACGTGAGTGGAAAGAGGTTCACAGCTAAAGGGATATGATTTAACGAGAATTGGAGATTTGGCTCACAGGACCACAAGCTAATTATGAGTACTATCGCTTTTGCTTCCTTCACAAGAGTACTTTCAAGATGACAATGGAATTCTGACAATTCGTGCTTTAAATTCTTTCAAATCACCAGAAATTGGGCACTCGATGTCTAGAAGGGTCATTATAGATGTGGAAAGAAAACATGTCAATAACACATGAGCTTCGCTTTCATAGGGGTCGCATTGAAATACAAGATGCCTCCTACTAATATAACTTATTTCTATAACACGATATCACAGAAATGAAAAGGTCCATGTATTACCTATTTTTTACTCAAGTAACATAATTTAGAGTTTAATCGAATTCAAAGGCCTCATTACAAGCCAACAATATTTTCATGACAAAGTAGCAAGCATCCCAGATTATTCTTAAGCTGCCTATTTTTAGAAATGATGTCATCAAATGCAACCCCCTTTCACTGCAATAAAAATTTATTGATAACCATCGACCATTGCAGGCTATTAGGGCTTCACGGTTGCTACCTGAGTTATCCATAGCACAACTCAGGAAGGTAAAGAACCAGAACCACTTCAACAGCCTACCCCATTGCACCAAGTCGGAAGAGCTACTAGGAGGCCAATGCTTCGACATATCAGAAGAGGAATAATTAGATCATACTCCAGTCCCATATTCAAGTCTGGAACTCTAACGAATTACAATTTGTCAGATACCCCGACACGTACTGGCATCACAGAGCTGAACATACAGAAAATACGGGCTTTCATTTAAATTCGTACACGTTAAGGTATTAAAAGAAGTAAGACAATTTTCGTTGTAAGTGCATACGATTGTATTGAAAAATGATATTAACAAAATTATATATAAATAAATATAAGGAATAGACCAAATTACCCCATCTATTGAAACTTGGAAGCAATCTGATTGAAGCAATTCCAATGAGTTCAGGATTCGGTACAGTCCGGCAAGAATCAATTCAGGGTATAAATTGAACCGTTCAAGCACAAGAATACCATTGTTTGGTTTCGAATCACTTTGTAATTTAGGAAGAACTCCCCATTTCTCATAGTTCCAGTCAGCTATCTCTTCATTTTCAATGGGATATTCTGTTACCGTGTCATTTAGAAGACTCAATACACCACTCCAGAAAGTATCAGCCATAACAATCTACATAAGTAACATAATAAAACTAAATTTTAAAGGACAACGTAAAAGACTTTTCGCATATTAAAATTACGAGACAGACCTGTTTATAGAAGGAATAATAGAATGCCATTTCCGATCGAAAAGTCAACTCCCTTTCGGTATTTGATAAGTAGGCGAAAGAGAGATGATTCTCATGCAGATGAGCAACGTGCCCACAATGTAACAGACTCCCAATAATTGCGAAGAAAACGATGAAAATATTTACTGGTAAACGGGAAAGACGACGAAATCTAGGCGGAGCTCGTTGCAGTCTATGTGGCATCGCCGTGTTTTCACTTGCGAGAGAGTCCGTTGAAGATGAGGAAGAAGGAGTGTTGAGTGACGAAGTTGGATGAATGGCTCGCCTTCTACGAGCTACCATTTTAAAGGCTGTCTAATAACTATTATTCTGTCGAGTAAAATAAACAAACCAGACATAAAAAACAACCGGAAGTTAAAACAAGCATTAAAATATAATTAAGAGTTAAAATTTAATTAAAGTGCTTCAAGTAAAAGCAATTAAAGATAAGGAAAGTGAATACAAACCCGCGAAAACGCGAACATCATGTTAGAAACACAGCACAGGGACCCGGCACTAATGGCGGCAAAACCGAAACCAACTGCAAGTTAACCAATCACTGTTAGGCTATGCTTTCTATTCGCTAATCTAGCCTTTCTACACGAATGCAACCAATTAAGGAATAGCCAATGACAATGAAGCAAACCGCCGTAGTGAATAGAAGAGAGAATTGTTATCTTGTGTAAAGATATTATTATCACCATTCTCTCCTCGTTCCCAGTCTCCTCTCTGATGCTAACAGCGTCTACGTCACTTAACTTCGTATTTCAACAGTGAGCCTGAAAGTGAGCCAGTGTTTGTAGACGTTCAAGTTGTCTATAATAAAACTAAAACTGCTCTGCTTGTCTTACAGTAGAGTAGACTTTGAACTAAGCATATATAATGTGCCATACATGAAAAATACGTAACTAGATTCCTGTGGAAAGTTGGGTTTTCAAAAATAATGCTTAAGTCAAAACTCTTTACATTTTGTCTTTTAATTCAGCTAATACGTTTAAAAACTAGCTCTCTTGAATATAAATACTAACACTTTAAAGCAATTACGCATTTTCCCAGAAGATTAAAGGATCGTTAATGTCCGCGCATATTTTCCGTTACTTGCTTTCAACTGTTATGAAAATTAAATCAGACCATTTAAAAGAATTAGAATGAAGGCTGAAGTTCTTCACCATCATAATAGTGTATTAATTTTTCGTCTGCAAATCATAATTCAGTTAAAGAGGTAGACACCATATCTATTTCTCATTAAACAGACCTACGTCACTGTCTCTCGTAGAGAGTTCAACTGACCAACCACGATGTACCATCTTAAATGTTAGAAATAGAGAACATTGGAAAGTACATTTGCACGTGCAAGTAAAGATCAAATAGCTCTGCACTTTTAACTTTTGTTGAAAACGTTTGCAAGGTTGATTAGACTCCAGTAGCACTAATGCCACTAGAATGCAGGTCTATAAAATCTTCTACTTCAATATAATTACAAAAATATCTATCAGTGCTGTTTTTTATGTATAAATAAAAAACAGCACTTAGTCGCTCACTAAACTTTCAAATTGTCTGTAAGTGAAAAATATCACTTAAGTGAATTTGGTATGAAGCTACAGCTCTTGCAGATTTCCGATTAGCGACTCGATTGCTGAGAAATATCATTTAATAATGAAATTGATAACTGCATGTTGAAAAATTATGGAGATAATTAATTCGAAAACAGCTGTTGTATTTATCAATCAAGGTTATAATGAGAGAAGTTTCCATGTCATAGGTTTATTAAAGAGTTTACAACCAATCGTATGGCAGGAACAAATGAGTATGAGGCATTATGTAAAATGAAGTACTAATCCAAATCTAGACAAAGGAAAGAAATCTATGATAAGGCATCTTAATAATTGTATAATGAGAACAGATCATATTATGATAACATCGGTAATTTGCAGCTTATCGTTATATCAAATCACGCAACAGTCTTTATCCATTTAAAACAGAAATAATTTTTGTTTAGACTTTACACTCAGCTTTATAATGAAATATTTTGCTCATTAAATATCATTTTATATTTCTATGACATTATACGTTTATATAAACAAGGACACGACATCAGGTGTGCAAAATTTCGAATCGGTTGATTTTCGTTAGATTTCTTGAAAATGTTAGCGGGAAATTTTTATAAAAACCTAATATATCATAATGTTTTTACTTAAACAAAAATTTAAAGTAAATATAAGGCATACCATATCTTGAAATAATTTTATCTAACCATCCGCTTTCTCATTCCAAATCTTAATGTTTAGCATTAAAGCGTAAATACTTAAATAACATGTCTGAACAAGAAGTAAAGCAACTCCCGAGACTTATCTTTGAACACAACGACAACCAGGGATTATCTATTTGTTATTTCAGACCGTCGTTTCTTTCCGCACGCAGCAGATCATCTATATCTTCAGATATGATAAGGTAATCATTTATTTTTATGCATTTTAGGTGATGCTTACTATAAGCAATTATTTCATACTCTAAAGTGCTCTAAAATCAGGTGATTCCGAATCGAATCATACAAACGATTTCCTGAAAAATCATCAGTATGCGGAAACACAATCAGTCCTTTGGGAAAGAAATTTTACTCCAGAAAGTTATGTAATAGAAGATCACGCGTCTCAAGAAGAAGACAAAAGGAATGAATTTGAATTACGTAGTTTCCATTTGACATTTGGCGCAATCCTCTTTCTCACTTCCACAATCACCTATTTAACGGACGTTGGATGTGATATATATCTGGTCATTCGCTATTTTAATCATGAACACTACAACTGGGCTTTACTGACACTGCTAATCGTTTTTATTCCGGCAATGATAACAACAAGCTTTAGTCTATCTTGGTATGTTCTCGATAGACGCGTTGGAATGGAAACTGACCGTACTGTTGTTGGATGGACTTGGCGGATTTTTCTTCACGGCTCGCTACTAGCCCTTATCGTTCGGTATTTATGAAAACAAACAAAAATCTAAAATTTCCTTAGTTATACAGATGCCCTTATTTATGGAATTAAAAGCTTAAAGAAAAGTAGTACTCCAGGTTCTGAGATTGTCCAATTGCTGCGGATGCGACAGTACGAATTAGCTGATTCTGTAATGCTACGAATTATGGAAGGTTTCATGGAATCTGCTCCGCAATTAATGCTCCAACTGTATATCCTTTTTACTGATGGAAATAGCAAGAATTCAAAATACCTTCGTAAGTTAATACCTTCATGGTTTTTTGCGCCAATTTTAGTCTAAAGATCTACTTGACTTAATTAAGTAGTATAATATTCTAGTTATATACCAGTATGCAGCATGCGCTTCCTCACTTATCTCGCTAGCCTACTGCCTCACAGCCTATCAAATCATCTTTCATGTATCCAGTTATTCAGCGAATCCAATATATCGTTATCGAGAGATCCTGATATTCTACATTTGGAAGATTCTTGTGCTAACCAGTAGAATAACGGCGCTTTCACTATTGGCAACCGCCTTCAACAATGTTCCTCACCATCCATGGGTATTCTTCTCCTGTATCTTAAGTCACTGGCTTCTGGCATTTTGTGCTCTTCTTAAAGAAAACCGTGTAGCATATTCTTTTCTTGATTTTTCATTTATTGGAATATTGGCAATCGTTCATTGCTTCGATGTGGCGCTAATAAAATTCCGCACACGAAAGGCGAAGACAACGCAAAAAATTCACAGTCACTTTGGCTTCTGGTATTGTCTCTACTCTCTTGAAAACACTTCGGCCCTAATTACGTGGTTCGTTTTAGGTGAGATGAAGAAGTCGACACTTTTTGAAGTGACAGTTATTATCTTGATTGTTGTGACTTTCATTTTTGGTATGATTTTCATGCTGACTTATTTCAAATTCACGCATAAAACTCGCAATAATTAGATCCCCCTTTCTGTTCTCCTCATGTATGTATAATAATTGCCTTCAAATTTTAGTATAAAAGTTATTAAGCGCCTTTTCGTGTCAGCCATTCAGTATTTCAGCACAAAGCTTTCGAAAAAGTAAGCTTACAATCTCTCTTCCTGGTCGTTGGCCTTACACCACTGAAAGCTGTCAAATGCCTGGGCATAATTGTATGCGTTTTCACAAAATGACCGAAATGCTGTCAAATATTTTAAAGGCCATAGGATAAAAAATACTACTATTAAAATTTGTACGAATGAAACTCATTGTCTATTTGATTCTGAGTTGACTTATAAATTTGTGTGCAATGAAAATTGCACTCCAATGAATATTTCAGTCGTGAATAAAATAGTGTAATTCATACTGCCTGAATGGTGGATGGTTCTATGCTGATGTCTATGCTAACCTCCTTATTTACAGATTCTTTTTTAATGAAAATGGCGTAACTAAAAGATTTAACAAGCCTTTTTCCATGGTCTCTCAGTTTCATGATGGACGATTTAAGCTCAATTTGTTATACAGTAATAACACACTCCACATCCCAATTCCACTAACGCACGCCGAATTTGTTTGGATAATTGGAATGCAAGGCAGTGTACTATTTGAAAAAAATAAAACGATTTCATAATACTTGAGTCAACGAAAATGGAGGAAAATACGAACCTTCTCTCCTGATGAACAGAATCTGCAGCTCCCAAACAAATGTCAATATTTATTTATTTCAAATGGCAGGCGTTTCGTTAGTTATCATTAGCTTTTTACCTGAGTTCGATCTTCACAGAGAGGGGAAGGAACGTCAAAGTGATAAATAATCGAGATAGGGGACAGAATAATGATTCACAGGTGCGAAAGGGACAGACAAACACAAAGGCAGAGAAAAGGTAAGATGACTACTGTCGAGTCATGGTAGTTTGAAGTGAGAAGCCAGCTGCCGGTTAATAGAATTTTTGCTGTATGAGTATACGTTGCCCAGGGTGCACCACGGACTCTTTTGCCGTGTATACGTTGCCCAGGGTGCACCAGTTTGTTTGCCGTATGAGTATACGTTGCCCAGGGTGCACCACGTGATAGACTTACTTGCCGTATGAGTACACGTTGCCCAGGGTGCACCACGTGGTGCCTTATGAGTATACGTTGCCCAGGGTGCACCACGTGGAGCCGTATGAGTAAACGTTGCCCAGGGTGCACCACGTGGAGCCGTATGAGTATACGTTGCCCAGGGTGCACCACGTGCCGTTTGAGTATACGTTGTCCAGGGTGCACCACCTGGAGGTAAGTCTATCGTGAGTATACGTTGCCCAGGGTGCACCACGTGGAGGTGAGTCTATCGCACACCCCACAAGTACCAATACTGATGTGGTTTAACTGTAAAGAAAATTCCAGAAATTCTCAGATTATTAAGAGTTGATCGGCATTATAACTTGAATTGAACACACAACGTTAATTTCATCATTTATTTATTTATTTATAATATATCAAATGACAGGCGTTCTGATAGTTAT